TAGAAACAGCTTTCTAAGATCTTCCTCTGAAGCTGCCTGTGGTCCCCCCTGTACTAGACAGACCATTTGTTTAATCTAATATGGCAATTCCATATGTACTGTATAGCTGCATACTCTGATGGGAGAGAGTGAGTAAAGGAAGGATGGCAAGCGGAAGAGGAGAAGAAATGTGAACATCTTTTGAGCGGAAATAGGACACTAACCATGATTTTTGGACTTTTAATATTTTTTGGACTTTGTTTCACCGCTTTCACGTGCTGTGTAGTAAAGGCCTTGCGATAAGAGCATACAGAGTCGGGAAGGACTTGGAGGAGAACCTAGCTACTGTTGTGAAATGGAAGATGCAAACTGTAGTTGTCCTTCAGTGATCTGTGGATAGGTTACCTAAATTGTGGGTTAACTAGATTGCAGATAATACAGTTGAAGGCAATGAAACGTTTGGCCATGCTGGGTTAACCAGGCCTGGCAGCATAGGGTGTGCTGTAGGCTTGTCAACTTCGACAAGAACAGAGCAAAAGTATGAAGCCAGCTTAGCCATGCTTAAAAGCCACCTTTCATGGTGGCATGAGGCACAAATGGAAGATGCTACAGGCATGATGCTGGAATGAATTCATCCATCATTATGTTTAACTCTGGGTTATGAAATATCTTTAATCAGCTGAGCAGCAGCATGGCTTTATCCTGTCCTTAGCAGGATTAACAGTCTCAAGGTGTCAGCTCCTTGCTCTGTCTCTGATTTCTCATGTCATTTTGGACAAACCACTTAATATCTCACTGGCTTAACAATGTGCGGGTACTTTCCTACCTCCTCTCGGTGTCAGAAGAGTAGATATATCCTGAATAATGGAGGCAAAAAATGTAGGTACCTTAGGCTAAGGGTAACTCCTGCTCGTAAATGTTTTACATGTGTGCCTCTGGTTATGTCTCTCTCCTTGCAGGCAGAGATCAGAGCTAGATTTGCCATCCGGCATCACAAGATGATACAAAAAATGCCATGTATTTTTCAGTAGGTAGGATGTAGAGCAAATGCTTTTGTTTCCTGTAGGACTGGTTGACATGTTAGAGAATTAGTTTCAATCCTCGGCTTGCAAATGCTGAGTTGTTAAGTGCATGCAGGGGAGTGGAGCTGAGTTTTCATGCTGTTGCTGGGAGCTCACCTTTTGTCATCATCAGCAAACCAAGATTTTAAAGCAGTCAGACCCTCCAACACTACACGATGGAACTCACATCTAAAACATGGTATGTCTGCCAAGTCTTACCCTCAGAAGCTGCCTTGAAGATTGCAAATCCTCCTGTCCAGAATAGACAGTGCAAAGGCAGCAATCAAGGCAATGTGTGAAAAGCTTATCTTCGCAACCTGCACAATTACTGACCTATTCAGAGAAACCTCCCCTTTTAGCTTTTAGCTCTGCTAGACAATTTACCCTGCCTCAGCTGTCTCAGTGCATTATGTCCTTCAAAACCCCTAGAATTAACGTTTGGAGCCAGCAAACACTGCTGGCTCCACAAGAAATGCTGAGAGCGGAAAGGTCAGGTCGATTAAAGCACTTGATCAGAATCTTTAACATAAAGACGTCACAGGCAAAACAGTAACGCTACTTCACGCTCAGCTAAGAGCAAATGATTCATCGGGCAAGGCTGCTTATTTTTGGAGGATGGCCACAAAAGAGAAGAGAACACGCTGACTGTATTGATCACGGTTGTAACAGGGGACCACAGAGCCCTTCTCCAGTTTTGATGGAAATTTAATGTCGGAAATACATTGCCCAATGTAAATATATCAATATATATTTTACATCAAATGCATTTTAAAAACGTTCTGGACCAGCTTAGAAGAATCATTTCGTCTGCACAAATCTCAGAGCTGTCATTTAGAGCAAAGGTCTATTTTGCAATGCTCTGCACTGCTTGGTGCTGCTAAAGATGCAGTAAGGACTTCTGTAAAGGTGGCTGGAGAGGCAAGTGTGCTCTGAAATCTCCAGTGCTTTGCCCTAGAGGGTAGACCTTCAGTGGGTGAAAGTGTACCACTGTTGAGCAGGTACACCCTAAAGGATGCTAAAAAAAAACTTACTCCCACTGCCTCCCGTGTCCAGAAATGATTGGAAATCCTCTTCCAGCAGGCACTGCTCCCCAAGCAGCTGCATACCTCTTGTGCTTCCTCCAGTGCCTGCTCATACCTTAAGCAGAAAGCTCCTGCCTGCCCCCTTACAGCACCCCTCTCTGTCTATTCCTTGGTAAGAGCAGAGTGGGTCTCTGCAGTGGGAGAGGCAGCAAGAAGGGAGAGGCACATGTTTGTACACGGAGGTGGGATTAAGCTGCTCTGACAGCCTAAGGAAGGGGTCCAGAAATACAAATTCAAACCCTGTGGCTCTCAAAAGGGCGTCATTCTGCTGTGACACCAGCCCAGCTGCTTCCCTCCCTCCTTGCCCTCCCCTTCCTTCCCATCCTTCCCCCAGTGCTAATAAATACATACTTAATTCACTTAATTCCCATGGAGGCTTGACATCAACCAGTAGAACTCAAAGTTTACAAGATAAATGTGAGGGAAAACATGAAGCAATAGTTCAGGGAAGAAAATGCAGCCAAAGAGAATGGCTGGTGAAGAGAAGGAAATGGGAATTCCCGGAGGAAGGACCATTCCCCAGAGAAGCGTGTGAAGGGAGAGGATGGAGAAATGCAAGTACAGTGTGATGGGACATAAGGGCAAGAGCACAAAGGAAAGTGCCTCTCGAAGAGAAGAGGGGTGAGTGGAGGTGGCAGCCTGGTAGGCGGGAGCAGCTGTGCAGGATTGCAGCAGTGGGCTTTCAGGGAGATGAAAGCCAATGGAGAACCCCTCAGGTTGCCGAATCCAACCCCTGCAGTCGCTGGTGACCACAGCAGGGTCACGCGCTCTAGGAGAGTCAGTGAATGGACCATCACCGTGCCCACCCCAGCCCACAAAATGCTTCTCAGCGCCTTGTAGCATACCTAAGACCTGCAGTATGCCAGACCAAGTGTGGCATGCTGCAAGAAGAGAGCAGGACAGCCTCTCCGATACTGTGGCTGGAGGGATGAGAGAGGAAATGACTTTAGCAGCAGGGTTTGGGATGCGCTGAAGAGGGGAGGGTGAAGAAGAGTTCATCACAGACCCAAAGGGTACATCTGCATTGCATAACACAGCGTAGTGTGGAGGCAGTCGCAGCTTTCTGTGCTTTGCTGGAGACTAATTCCTGGAAAGGGTAGCATAGATGTACTCCTGATAAACAAGCTTGTTCCTTTATGGCTAGTGCAGATATCTCTGCTCTACATTGCATAACATAGACATACAATAAGTTCCTCTCAATAAGGCATTTAAAAGAATTCAAGGCAAGCTCTGCAATGTCAAAACCATTGGCCACCAAAAGCAAAGGAATAAAAGGTGAGATGCAGAAGGGACACTCCTGCGCCAAAGGTTGTGCGCTGTGTAATCAGAAACACCCCACAGAGAGCAATACTTCACAATTTTTTCCAGGGCTCATGTTTTCTCTGTAATGGTCTGCTACCTTTTGAGTCAATGCTCTCCTAATGTAGCCTGCAATATCATGTAGTACCCAACACACCCTCAATCTGCAATTGTGACTCTACCAGCCCCTCTACGGAATGAACTCAGCTCTGAATTAGTCATTTGATGTGCCAGTGCATGTAAAATAGACTCAAGTGAATCAGATTTTGTGTGCAGGGACTGAATTGCAGTAAATATAGTGACTTGGAGAATCTCAGACTGCATTGGGGCTTTCATGTCTGGAGGGATACTCTTTCTCCATTGGCTGCACAGCCTTTCCAAGCAGGGCAGGCACACAGACGAGGTGGGAATGAAACCCCCAGCACCACACCACACCTCCTGCCCTCTGCAGTAATGCCGATGTGGCAGCATAAAAAATGTGGGGGCATAAAAGAGAAGCCCAGGTGAGGGCTGGAGAATGACAGTGCCCAACAGCAGGTAAAAAAAAAAAAAAAAAAAAAAGACAAGAAAAAATCAAAAATGTCCTCTTAGTCTGAGCTGCTTTAGATCTGAGTGCCCATCTAGCAGACACCGGGGAAGAGCACGCACAGCATGTCAGCCTGCATTAGGCTGCTTGGGCTGAAGGAGCCTCATCCTGTAGGCGGTGTGTTGTCTAGTGATACCAGCAAGGAGCAAAGTGAGGTATGCTGGAAACACTACCTTTACTGATCAGAGCCCAGTGCAGAAGGCATCCCCCTTGCAAGCTCAGATATGGCACCTAGAGATGCCAGTGATGCCTGCAGCAAGGTATTTATGAAGGGACATTGATGAAGGAGATTCATCAGCATGGGTCTGACGGTCTTGGACTTCATGCAGCCAGAGCTGGAGGAAGCCAGCTAGGTCGTTCGCCTTGAGGACAGTCCAGTTCAAGAAATCTCGGGGAAGAGTGAAAAGGGGGAAAAAGAAGCAAAAAGATATTTTCTCCTTGTGAAGATATTATATTAATTTTCTCCCACTGTTCTCCTGTGAAAGCAGCGGTGACCAGAGTATGTAACATCAGGGGTAACGCCATGTTGGCGGTATATGTAGTGTGATGGGGGCATGGCGAGAACTGAATTTTGGTCTTCAGTTTCCAGCACTTCTTTTGGGATGGAATCAGGGCTCGTCCCAAAACCAGAAGGGGGAGATCCAGGTTGAAAAGATGTGAGCTGTAATTTTACAAGATTATATGATTTGCGCAAAATGGCTTTCGGCTGGGGTGGACATGGTGTTGGAAATGCTCCGTTCAGTGCTGTCGTCTGAACTGGACCTGGTGGGGCACAAGCCTGAACTCCCAACTTTTAGCAAGCTGATCTTCTGCCATATGCCTCCTTCTGGGTCTGTTTCAGTCTAGAGAAGCTCAGACATGATCCATACATCTACCCACAACGTCTCAGCTTAAATTGTTAATGGTATCAGTAAGAACTGTGACTGGACTGGTAAACTCTGGATGGGGCTATATCTCCAAAGAAATCTAATCACGATGTTTCTTTCTCTGCAGGGGGTGGAGGGAAGCGCAAAGGCAAAAGCAAAAAGTGGAAGGAAATCTTGAAATTCCCTCACATTAGCCAGTGTGAAGATCTCCGAAGAACACTAGGTAAGAGCTTTTCCCTTCTTTGGAAGTACTGCATAAATAAAACATGCCATCGAAGCTGGTTCAGCAGCATGGCATTACAGGTACTTATCATTGAATGGAATCAGTTTAGAGATGGGCATGCAAGGCATATACCTCCCACGATGCTCACATCTTCTGGTTCCTAACAAGGCGCTGTGGATCAGGCAGGAGGGACTGGCGTAATGCACTTGGAAGGCAGGGCTTGGGGCTGGCAGCAGCCGGGACCTTTGCTTTGCATGCACAGACTCTGGGAGCCAAAGGGACTTTACCGTTAGAGAATACCTGCTTTATGGGACAGGTTCTTTGATTCAGTACCTACCAGGACCAACAGGGCTGTAAAGAGACATTCAGAAATGAATCCCCTCATCATATCCTGCATTCCCTTGTCATAAGTAGCTCTTTATCAGAGAGGAAGTGAGGCTTGATGAAAGCAGAGAGATTGCTGATGTAGCTGAAGGTTAATATTAATTATAGTCTGATATGAAGTTTGAAGCAGCAGCCACTGCCCTCTACCAGGCAGGTTTGCTCAGCAGTAACATCTTCTATGCAAACCACAACCACAACACTACTTTATGTAGGTTTTTTACAGGATGTGTAACTTTTTTTAAAAAAAATTACTTTGTTTTATTGATGTGAGCCAACCACTGCAAATTTGGAAGGGAGCTTGCAGTGGTCATTTCCATAACACAGCATTTCTCCTGCTCATACCTGCCAAATTTCAGCATTCTTTTGACTGCTGCCTTGGCAAACAAGGCTAGCAGCTATCTCCTTGTGCATTCTCTACCAGAAAGCCCAGTATTACTGGTCTCGCCACAAGAGGTTAACTTCAGCAACTGAGGTTCCTTTTCTCCCCTACACTGACATAAATCCACCCACTGGCAATGAATGAATGAAAGGCAAGAAACCGTAACAGCTGAGATAACGGGCAGCATAATTTGTCTAACTTGGGTGAACTCCTGGGGTCTGAGTGACAGTGCCCTGGCACTATTTACATTCAAAATTCACAGCGTGTTTATGCAGAGAAAATATGTGGAATGTTTTGAAACTCTTTTCATGGTCTCCTTCAGTAAATTTTGCTTCCCTCATCTTCTACTGTAGGGCTAAAAGGTGGTAAAGAATGGAAGGGGAAGCAGGAGAAAAGAGCATAGGTTTTCCCCATTAATGGGCACTCGACAAACAGACAAACTCTGGAACAATTTCTGAAGGTACAAAACCCGGTGGAAGCAAATCTGACTTAATATATTGTAATTTGCATAGAGAATGCTCTCTGTTATTCCATCAACCATGATTCCTACAGGGGGAAAATGGCACCAGAGGAAGCGCTTGCTTTTTACAAAGGTGTAATATCCTAAAATGAGCAGTCTTAAAAAAAGTAACTCCACCAATGAATTCTTTTCCTGAAATGCTGTTTCTGGCATTTTTGGGGTGTCAGCTTTTTCCTAAATGTAATTTGGTTTACATTTTTTTAGTGAAGGAATTGGTGAAACAACAGGGCAAGAGCCCTTGCGATGCTCTCGGTTTATTTGGCTTCACTGCAAAAATTATCTGTTGACTGGGAATTTTAGCAACTGACTTCTACACAGTGGGAAATAGGGTCCCAATCCTTGTTCTGTGGTTCTGATTTTTATTGAGTAGCTTTCCCGCTGAGCTGGATGTGATTACACAAGGAATGAGGCACTGCTAAGCCTGAGTAAGGTCATCTGTCCTTGCTGGCTCTACCGTTTTTCAGTTAATCCAGTTGAGGTTGAAACATCCCAGACAAACAATTGCTGTTTATAAACTTCTCCTTTACATACAGGGGATCTGACACATCTTGGATGAGCTAGACTCTCTGGGTCTGTAGCATTAAGTCATTTGCATGTGTGTGGCTGATCCGAGGTGCTCAGGATGGATCTGTTGCATGTGCAGATCCATTGCACTGGGCCCTGTGTGGCTCATGGGCATCCAGGGGCAAGTACCAGTCATTGCAGTCTGGCCTTAAACCGCTTCTTTTACTGTCTCTGCCAAGGCAGAACAACTCTCTTGGCTTTAAACCATCTTCATGTGCTATTTTCTGCAAGTCCATTATAAGGATCTCAGGATTTCAGGTGATGACGTGTCTCCACAGGCAATTTTGTGAGGGAATGTACTGAAATATCTTTCTTGAGCCATCAGCTGAACTGCTTTATGGCTTGCAGGGGATCCAGCTGCTCAGTGTGTCGCCCATGAGTCCCTCCCCTAACAAATCCTTAGCCCACTGGTCAGTGCCAATCAAATTTGATAATGAAATAGAGACCCCGGAGAGGCTTTTTCCTCCAGTCTCTATGGAAATAGGCAACCAGCAGAGAAGAACAACTCTATACAAGGAAAAGGCTACAGCCTCAATTCAATGTGTTTAGAAATCAAGACAAACACTAGTAGGTTCTGCTCGTCACAAACCTCTTTGCTGTGTGTCAGCCTCCCAGCGCTTTTGGTCAGACACAGTCTTGCCACTTTACCACATGTTTAAAAAAAATAAAAATCACACTGAGTCTTAGAGAGTTGCATGAAGTGGAGGACTAAGCTGCTGAGGTTTTGTTGTACTCCTCTTTTCTGGATGCTTCCCAAGAGCCTCTGTGGAAAAGCTGGAGGCAGGGATGGGATGGACCTTTTGTTTTGGAGTGGGCATGCACTGCTGTGAAGAAAGGCAGGGCTTAGTTTAATGCAGCTGTAAGCCATGGATGGAAAATGGTGCTGTTGTGATTGTGGCAATACAGGCTACACGTGTGTGCAGATGCCCACATTTGGGTGTAAAAACGTGTGTGCTTTTGCACCCCACTAAGGTGTACTGAAAAGAGTCTGTGTCTTAAAAAAAATAGTGTAGTGTGAAAAGAAATCTGTGAAAAACAGGAAGGCTGAAATAAACCTAGGGTCTGCGACCTGTGTTGACACAATTATGAGTCAGTTCATACCTTTTGGTTCCCTCTGTGTTTACAGGAGACTCTGTGTTTGACTATCCATCATCTGGTGTCTTACTGAAAGACTTGCTTAGTAAAGCCCTTTTTTCCCCTCCTGCTTGTGCACAGAAACAAAAATCAAAACACCCGAGAGAAACACTGTTTTTTGATAAATAAACAAATGCTGGAAACATCTTTGAGTGCTATTTAGCCAAGGAGCTATTTTTTTGGATTGCTCTTAAAAGCAACTTCTTTTCTCCTTTCTTTTTTGTCCAAAGTACGCAATACCTTTTGCAGAGAAGTTCAGTGGCCTCCATTGTGTGCTAATTAAATAGGCAAGTGGAACAAGGATGCTCTGATAATACCTTTACTGGGCTCTGAGAGAGGCTTGTATATGTATACTTGTACACTATATATGAATGGCTAATGTACGTTTCCATTAGCAGCCCTCTTCCCGGCTGTATTTGATTGCATTAAAAGAGCTAGCACTTTCCAGGTTAATATGGGCATTAGTGGCCCTTTCAGTCGATGAAAACTGGTGTTTGAGATGCTAGTGACAATGACTCACGTGATGGATGCTGCTGGTGGATGGTGTTCTGCTATCTTTAAAATTCACAGATGATAGCTTAGCGAAAGAGAGATGTTTCAAGGGAAGGGAAAAACCAGCAAGGCGCAGCTTTAAAAATTCCTGCATTTGACAAACACAGCATGAAGAGACACCACAAGTTAGGGATACCCACTAGTTTAAAGGCCATCAGTAAACAAAAATATAAGAAAAAGTTGTAATTTTAAAGGCCAGAGTGTCTTTTTGGTGATAAAAGATTCTGAATGTCTGTAAATATTTCTGAATGACGCAAAAGGCTCTGTTGGTTAAAAGTGTGGAATTTTTATTTATTTTGCTCAGACCCATTCTGTGCTTTTTTCTTCCATAAAAAAACTGCTTGGGTGAAAGAGTTGATTATTCTGATCTTTGGCAAATTTTCTTTCGCAACTGTCCAAATGCTATATAATAAATCAAGATCTTTTTTCCCCATAGATTGAAGTTTGTGGGGAAACTGCCACAGAATGTGTCTGCTGTTTGTTGCATACAGTGATTTGTTGCATTATTGCAAAAAACTTTAACTCCTTCAGTAAAGCAGTTTCTACTTGTGCATTGTACTCAGGTAGAAGGAGAACTCTGATGGTTTCTCTTGTACAATATTTATATTCAGTGAGATTTCAGTCAGAAAGATCAGCCCCATTAATACTAGTTTTGCCATGCGTGATTTCAAAAGAGAAAAAAGATCCTCCCTGTGCTATTTAACCTCTTATGTGACATTTGCATCACATTTATCCAGGGTAAAAGTAGCTTGAGCTTCCAATTCTGGCAGGTTCTTTTCTGTGTTGTTAAAAATACACTTCTGTGTGAGAAATGCTTTGTAGAGATGGTGAACAGAGTAAGTGGGACAAAACTGAAGCCACAGAGTTCACATGCTCACTTTTTACAAAAGCTGGCTCTTTTTTTTCCCCCCACTTTTTTTGTATTGTACTTTTTCAGACATGATCAGGACCTTCACCTACCTGATTTTTTTTTCAGTCCCTTTGGAATTTATCTACCTGGAGATACATTGATGGTGCAGGCTCTGCAGACCTACCTACACGAGGTTCTTTGAGCCGCCAGCATGGGTGCTGATAGCAATCAAGAAGAGCAGTAAGGACATCAGTGCCAGAGGGATGCTTGAGTATTTATCCAGCTTCCTAGAAATGCTTTGCAGCCTGCACTGAGCTCCATCCTGTGGCAGAAAGACTGCTACTATACCCCGGCTATCTCATTTAAAGGTAGCTTAGGCATCTCTGCTCTGCTCCACGGTGCTGAGGCATCTTTCATGAATTCCCACCAGGAATTGTTGGGTTCCTTGGCTTCAGAGGTTTGCTAGTGCTGCAGAGAGAAACACATGGGTGAGGGGGCTTGGAAAAGAAAAGTGTGAGTTTTCTTTCTCACGAGGGAAGATGCCTCTGAGAGATCAAGTGATAACATGGCATATCGATGTTCATCGCAGGATAAGGTGTCTGTGTGGCACCCTGTCC